ATATATGTACTGTAGTAAGTATATATAGTTATTATTATCTCCATTAACAAGTATATATAGTTATTATTATCCCCCATTAACCAATTAATAATTAATGATGATATACTGACTTTGATTAGGTGGACTAAGAAAAGTCAAGGCCTATTAGAGATATATTTAAAAAGATAACTCATAAAGCCCATTTAACTTCCACCTTTTATTGTATTGTATTATATTATTTCTTTTTATTTGTACTGTATTATTTCCTTATTAATGAAACTAATCAAACTATTTTAATTAACTTACATCCAAACTTCGAAGTAAAATAGAAAACATGACTTTCTCGTAAATTCTTTTACTATCTTTGTTGAAAGGGAAATTGCAAGATATATCACTTCCGAGTCAATCATCGATAAGTTTCGTGACTTAAGAGAACGTCGAGCACAATTCTATCAGTCACAAAGTTTGAACGGTATGTATTTTCTTGAACTACTTTTTTTTCTTTTCTATTCTAAAAATGCAACTTTGTTTTTTTAATAAAGTATGTCATTATTGAAAATTATTTAGTCCCCCTAATTAAATTTTCTAGATCTACCCTTGTTAAATTTCAAATAATTTGTTCTGTACCTGCTATAAAAAAAGTGTTTTATTTAGTGGTGTACAAAAAGAAAATAAAATAATAACAATAATAAAATAATTCTTGAACTTGTCAAACGATTTGTTTCCGAATCTCAGAAGTCCACCTTTGGTCTCGCTTTATTACTTGATCGATCATTAGTATTGAACTAGTACACCAAGGAAGAAGGCAAGAAAATAAAACAAGTCAGTGTCATGCACAACAACAAGGCAAATTCATTCGCCCTCACTCTGGACAGATTAATATCTACTGAATGTGCACCCAGATTCCACGGCTGGGAACGTCACGATAAACAACAAACAAAAGATAGTATCCCGGTGGCGCAAGCGTGGGTGATGGCGGCGCAACTGCCGTGATCTTCTCATCTGTCACTTCCTTGAGCTTCAGAATGAGCAATCTCTGGTTCTGAGAGTAGCCGTGCGTGGTGAAAGGCGGAGAGTACATCGTAACCTTTACGTACCCGTTTTTCCCAATATTCTCATTCCCTTTGGCATTAATCGCCACACCAAACTCAACACCGTATTTCAACAAATTCTCCGACTGTCCTCTCAATATCTCAAGCCGGTACTTAATCTGGTCTGGCGCCATGTAGGGCGGGTAAAATTTCTCGACACGAAGCTCACTCGAGAACGTGAAATCATCCTCGTATTTCTCAAGCATGTAGAAGGGATTAGTATTGCTTCCGGCCACAAGGATTTCGCCGCTCGGCAAGACAGCCGAGACCGAATGGTACATTCTCGGAATAACAGTGGGCGCGAGCTCCTTGAACCTCTCACCTATTCTCTTGTTAGGACTATAGAGAACGGGAGTGAGGTTGGGATCTTTTGCAGCATTCCAAGCCGAAGTCCCAGCCTTTGCCCCATTTATCATGAGCACGTCACCATTGGGAAGTAGCAGCATGTCCCCCATGACACGTGGAGAAGGCATGTCCTCTTTCTCCCACTGCCTGTTTTCCACATTCAAATTCAATCTCCCGCAGTCCTTAGCGGCCTCCAAGAAAGTTCTCTTCGGCTGCTGAAGGTCCGCGAGTATGTACGACTCACGGGTGTTCCCTCCGCAAATGAGAACCTCGATTTTGATCAGGTTCTGGTCCTGAATGTCGAGGTTTATGGGGAGGAGTGCTGACATGGCGGAAGGGGGATAGTTGCGGGAGCCTCCAGGTAAGTCCGGGAGCACGCGCACGGTTTCGGCAGTGTAAGGGTTGAGAACAATGGATTTGTAGTTGGCGAAGACAAAGAGGTTGCCGTCGGGAAGGAGGTTGACGAAGGGGTAGAGATTGTTTTCGCGCCCAGCGTCGTCGTCAGTGTCTTCAAGGAGAGGGAGTTCCATTAGTTGTGGGGTGAAGGTGAGGGTGTCGGGAGGGATGATTTCGTAGCTGTATGCGTTGCGGCCGCCCACGAGAGCGAAGCTACCGTTGTCGAGAGCTACTTGGGTTGCGTACCAGCGGTTGGAGTATAGGGCTCTTTGGTTCTCTTGGAAGTTGCAGTTTTTGCAATGTTTTAGTAATCGGACTGACTGAAAACCGGCCTTGTCTCCGCCTGTTGAGACAAGGTCTCCGTTTTTGTTTAGGCCACCGGATGAACACCAGGGACTGGTTTCCAACTGCACGCATTATGCATGGATAGATCATTGGGTCAGTGAACTAACCGCGGTCGAATTGTTTGAAAGAATTGGTGGAACCATACATATAAATATATGTAAATATATATTATATATTATTATAAACAAAATTAAATCAAATATTTTGTTTGGAATCCCATTTACTTATTGTTTTATTTTCTTATTACATTTTAGTAATATATTATTTAATGTATGTTTATAAAAAAATTATCATTTTGTCCTAATTTGGTGGACATCGATTAGTATACTAATTTCTCAGTTTATCATATACCCATGATATTAATTAAAGTACTAATAAGTTAAAAATTTGATCAAGAATTAAAACATTTTCATATATTTATACCATATGTTTTAGCTGAAATAACAGCCCGTACATTTAACAACACAATATGAACCTAAATTTAAATATTTAGTTAGCTATCGAAACAAATATATAATTTATTTTTTATGGCATTTTGGCTAGTCAATTTTTTTTTCAAATAAACAACTCTCACTTCTAAGAATTATAAATACAGAGATTAATGAGAAAGAAATGGATAAATTCATATAGGTAGACCGGGATGTATCTGTATTTAACCAAACTTTGTTCTGGATATTTGTAATTGATCCAAATCGCATAGTAGCAAAGGATATTTGTATTTAATCATTGTTTATTTATTTTCACATAAAGAATCAATTAGCCTAATCATTTAATTTAAAGCGTACATACATAAATAATAGCAAAATCTATGAATGATAAAAAAACAAGAAAGGAAGGTAGCAAAGAAAAGCAAGCAAACCTTGAGGGTCCTAATTTGAGCTGTCTCGACGTCATATTCAATGGCATGCGCAGTGCAATCTTGTTCTGGATCTGTTTGTCTGCCTCCTACTCGGGGTGCACACGAGGGTGGGTCCAGCGTTATTTCTGATAACCCATTGCTTGTGGAGTCGTACATAATGGCCTTCCCATTGGGCATCAATTGTATGTGCATGGCAGCAACACCGGCATTTTGGGAATGAATCTTCCAATAGCCTAAGGATTTGGTGGTGGAGCCTTCTTCGTATTCAGGAGGGATCTCTTCTCCTCCACCATCTCCTGGCCTATTGGGTTGTTGCTTGCCGAAAATCGATCCAAAATGGAATATGTCAAAGAAGCCAAAACCATCATTATCATTATCCCCATTCGAAATTGGAGCTGATGGTGGGGTTAATATATCTCCATAATGGTTAACGGCTGAGGGCTTTTTTGTTTTCGTGCTTGTCACGTAGCCAGTGAGGAGGAGAGAGAGGACCACAAGAGATTTCAAAAAGCTATCAATTGAAGAAGAAAAAATCTTCATTATTGTTTCTTCGTCTCTTGCTGTATTATTCGTCTTGTACATTCATACTTTTATATTGATGGTTCAGTTCGGGGTTAAAAATGAAAAATCAATGAATGGATGATTGCCCTTTTTCTTCTCATTGACTTAAAGCACTCATCCTATAACAAGAAGAAATAGACAAAAATCATTTTTAATTTGTGTGGACAATTTTAGGGTGAGATTTTGTTAAGGAAGGTGTAAATTGTTTATTATATAAATGTGCCAATNCAAATGTATTTGTGGTGACGAATGTAAAGCACCTCCATTGATTTGGAGATATTAAACAACAGCCACAATTACCTTTTTTACAAACTAAGGTTTGTCACTTACAGGGCAAAAAAACCCAGATTCTAAATTAGGTTCATCTATTAAAACTTTTATTTTCTCCAACGACAAACAAACGACTTGTATAAACTCAAATCAAAGTATGGATACTCAACTATGCAAAAGCTCCAACTCCTAAAAAAGAGCACATAGCTAACAGAGAATTACACACTATTCCCTTTAAGAGCCATTTTGGCTAAACATAAAACTAACTAAACAAGCATTACAATCCCGAGAAAAACACAATGTTCAAACAATGAAGAAAAAGAATAGATGTCTTCAACCACAATGCTACAAATAGAATCAAAGCTTTTTCTTGAACTAAGCCTATCGACTAACTTCTTAGTAGACAAACAACAGTTTAAAGCCTTCCACTTGGAACAACGACTTAATACAGAGCATGACGAAATCCTTTTGAAAGAAGAACTTCTAATGCTCGAGAATTTAAAAAAATGCTCTCTCTCTCTCTCTAGTTTTTCTCCTCCTTCTCTCTAGCCCCCTTTTTCCTCTTTTTTATTTTTCTTTTTTTTTTCAGCCACT